ATAGTATACAATCTTTAAAAAAACAATATCTTGCTTTATTACCTTATATTCTACCTAGTGCATTTTTGAAACATTTTCAAAAATCTAAAAAGCTGTGGTTAAGTTGTCGCAAAAATTAATATTGCCTAGTCAGGAATAGAGTGCAATCACACACCTTTCCTGTCCATGACTAAAAATTCAAGTCATATTCTAAGGTCTTCCTTATTCTTCATTTCCAGTAATTTTAGGAGTACCCCAAGGTTCTATATTCTCTCCTGTATTATTTCTTATCTACAATAACAATTCTTCTAATAGTCTTATATCTAAAGTAAAAATCTATTTGCTGACGACCCAACTTTATACTTGTGTCTTGACAAAAAGTCATCACTTTTTAATTGCCTACAACAAGTAGGAGATCTTTAATCTGATCTCTCTTCTGCAACAGCTTGGGATACGCAGTGGCTTATGGATTTTAACTTTAACAAAACTCAGTTATTTAATACAAACTATCGCAATATTATTAACATTCCTATACTAAATAATATCAACCTTCTAGCTATCAGATAAAGTCCGAAAAGACATTGTAAATGCAGTTGGACCAGCTTTATTTGCCAGGCTTTAGCCACTATCCCATTGTTGTAAGGTTCTATTTCTTTTGATTCTCCGACAAATGCCATCATAGATGCTACTCAAATGAGCCATCATCTCTAGTCATTCAGTAAAGTTGCATTGTTATACTGTATCTGTCCCATAACAATTTTTATTTATCTAATTTTTTCCCTTGCACATCAATAAAACCTCAAAACTCTCACCCATCTTCATGTTTTCCTGACTCATACAAGCTAAAATTTCTTAAGTCTTTTAGTTAACCGTTTACTTTTTCTTTAATCCTAAAACTAAAGTAAATTAGTTAATATATATATATATATATATATATATATATATATATATATATATATATATATATATATATATATATATATATATATATATATATATATATATATATATATATATGTATATATATATATATATATATATGTATATGTATATATATATATATATATATATATATATATATATATGTATATATATATATATATATATATATATATATATATATATATATATATATATATATATATGTATATATATATATATATATATATGTATATATATATATATATATATATATATATATATATATATATATATATATGTATATATGCCAGTATTTAACAAATAGTAAATAGCTATCAAACCCTGCTAAATCTTATTATTTTGCAGAGACTGGGTTTGTAAAAAGTCCCATTTATAGCTGGGGCTGGTGCTGGGACTAATAATTTAAATTTTATTTAAAATATCAAATAATATAAGTAACAAAAGTTTCAGTTAATTTTACTGTTCTTAAAATTTACAGGGTAATTTGTTTGCCTTGAATACTTTATTGTTGTTACTACACTAAAGCCTAAAGTCTGGGCTGCAGCTTTTAACTTCATTTTTCTGATGATTGTAGCAATGTGCAGAATTTCAGTATTTATTTTCAACTCGATAGGATTTTCACTTGTGTTATAGATGACTGATCTTGCTACTAAAAAAATTTAATATTTTCAATAGCAGTATTGGATCCTGAAAAAATTTGCCATACTAATATTTGAAGCAGCTCCATCAAGTGTGAGTGATATAATTTCTACACCCCTATCGTAAATAAATTTTAAATAATGTTTAACAGCATTAGCTTTTTCACAGCTACCTAATTTATCAATAAAAAAAGTATGCAACAGGAAGTTTACGATCTCCATTCACACAGTTACCATAGGAAATAAGGCTTCTTTCATTTTGGGTTAACTATCATTATTAAATCAGCACCAAAATCAATATACCAGAAAATTTATAGCCTGTTCATTAATTTTTTTTAGTAATGGCTATTTTGTCTACCATCAATGAACACACAACACGCCAATCAATTTTTTGATTTTACTTTGTTTTACAGAGTAAATAAAACTTCTTTACTAAATCCAAGGGAAAAGTCAACACTTTCAAACTGTTTTTGAATGGCTTGCAAATAAGAAAGTGAATTATTATAAAATGTTTTTTTTATAATAAGGCACTTTCAACTATAACTATATGCTTTAGCAAAATAAAAATTTAATGTTAAAGCTAAGCTCTTAAATCTTGTTAAAATCCAATGAAATAATTGTTTTCTATACTAAGACATTCCCTTTAAAAAAATATGTTAAAAATATGTTAAATAAATAAAATATGTTAAATAAATTAATATAATATTGGATCAAATTATTAGGGGTTGTCTATAAAATACGTACGCTCATAGGGGGGAGGGGGGAGGTCTTCAAAAAGCGTACAAAAATGTATGGGGGGGGGGAGGGTTCAATTTAAAAGTACGTACATCGATTTTCTAATTTATCACAATTAACCAGCTAATCAATAGAAAAGTTAAATTTCTGACTAAAGATTTAAGTTTGCCAACATAAAAAGATGTTTGATGTAGGTATAGGCTTTCACACATGCATGGGGGCCTGCAGGATTTTTTGATGTTTTCCTGATGTTTGCATAATGTGTGAAAGAACACTTTCACACATTGTGCAAACTTCAAACTTAAGTATGTTTGTACCTATGCCAAATGAGGAGGCCTTGCAAAAAATTAAGAAGGCGAAAGCCTGGGAGCAAAAAAGCCCTAAAACGCTTTTCCCCCCCCCCCCTTGGGCAGGGGAAAGAAAGCGTTTTAAGGCTTTTTTTTGTTCTCAGGCCTCCGCCATCCCACTTTTTTGCAAGGCCTCCTCATTTGGCATAGTTATACTTAAATTTTGTAGTATTTACAATGTACACACCTTTGGCATAGGCATACTTATGTTTGGAGCTTGTGCAAGCTCCAAACTTAAGTATGCCTATGCCAAATGTGTGAAAGTGCAAACATGCCACCCTTTATATACTGGCCCTGAGTAAGGTGTATTTCAGGCAATATATTTTTTGAGTTGACAAAAAACAAGTTTTAGCAGTCATTTAGGTCATTTGGGTCTCAAAATCTCCCAAATTTAACCACTAGGTTTCCCTAAAATAAAAAGCTCCTTAAATTATCAAAAGGACACAAAATTTTTTGCCCCTTTTCCCCTTCCCCCAAACTAAGGGGTATGAGTAGCCTATCTTCGGCACTGGGTTTGAGGCTTTGTTTTCGATAATACTGATCTCGCGCAAGACTCGTTTTTAACAGACTTAGTAAATAGGGGTGTCTAAAAAAAAGGTCCGCCTTAAGTATAGTTTATTTCTATTTGATTTGTCATTAAAACAGTTTTACACAACCGGGGATCGAACACGGATCTCCGTCGCCTCAGACCGTAGCGCTAACCACTCGACCAAGCGAACACATTGTTAAAGTAAAATTTATATATATATTAAAATTAATGTTAGCATATTTATTTGAAGAGGTTTTTTAATTTAAATTTGGGGCACATGTTCCGCAAACAAAGAACTTTTGGGTTGAATAAGGTACTTCCTAATTTAAATTTGGGGCACATGTTCCGCAAACAAAGAACTTTTGGGTTGAATAAGGTACCTCCTACACCTTTTTTTTCCATAAACTTTTTCATTAAAAAAAAAGTGGGGGGGGTATTCAAAAACGTACGTACTTTTTAAAAGGTGGAAGGACTTAGAAGTACGCATAGCAACAGGGGGAGGGAGGGGTTTAGATTTCAAAATTTTTGGCGTACGTACTTCATGGACGACCCCTTATATTTCAACCAATGGCCTGTGGGTCATCACCTCTGATTTTCCTGATTTTTACATATTGTTATGGGCATTACTACACAACAAATCAATGAAACACCATCAAAAATATGATTACACTTCTATTAAGTAACTCCATTAGTCAAGATCCAAGTATAATTATTATTTGACTCTATTCTCCGTAGACCTTTTCAAAAAGGGTTGGTTTTTGAACTCCATACTTCTTATTTATGTAGAAAGTACTATAACATATACTACTATTACTACTAATACTACTACTACACTAAAGTCAACAATTTTTTATTAAATTAAAATCAATTTTACAAATGGAAAGATTAATTGTAAAAATCAATTGGAACAAAGCAAATTAAAAATTTGAATAATTTGAAAACATGTGTGATGAAGTTTTATTTAATAAAAAATAAAAAAATAAAATTTTCAAAACGCGAATACGCGAGAAGCCAAATTTGGGGCAAATATAAAAAAAAATGCGATTACAAAATAAAAATTCCAGAAATATTGACGTTTACCTTGTGGTTAAGCGACAAAATACCCCGAAAAATGTCCGAAATTATTTGGCTTTAAATGCAAGGTAAAACTCAATATTTTGTAAAAAGTTTTTTACTAATGTGATTATAATGGTTCAAATTTTTTATTTAGATAGTTGTGTATCCTGTTTTTTTCATAAATGTTGTTTAAAATAAAAAAAAGATTTCGCATAGTTTATAAAATGTTTTAAAAAAATTTTTTTTTTTTTTTGCGTATTTGGGCAAAATTCTTTTTTTGTGCATTTGCGCAGAAGTATTTTTTTGTGAAATTATTTTTTAATATAGACAATAATTATGAAAAGACTAGGATACACAACAATCTAAAAAAAACTTAAAACCATTATGATCACATTTGAAAATTTTTTTTTACAAAATATTAAGATTTACCTTGCGCTCAAAGCCAAATAATTTAGGAACAATTTGGGGCATTTTGCCGCAAGGTAAATATCAATATTTCTGGAATTTTTTTTTTTTTTAATCGTATTTTTTTTATATTTGCCCAAAATTTGGCTTCTTGTGTATTCGCATTTTGAAAATTTTATTTTTTTTGAACACCCCTAATTTACATTGAATGACACCTAAAAATCAGACTTTTTTTTTTAAAGATAAAATGGTTTAGATGAATTGTCGGTTTTTATTCATTTTTAAAGTTTGTTATTTTTTTATAAATATAATTATAAAATATAAATTTTATTCATTCATTTTTAAAGTTTGTTATTTTTTTATAAATAGGCCGAAAAAGAGAAAAAAGAAGCAGAACAGCATGCAAATGATATTGGTTTAAAAACAGATGATACCTTAGAAAATCTGATATTGCAGCGTCAAGTTGATCGATCTAAGGAAATGAACAATTTTTTTAACAATCTTGAAGCCAAGTATGGTCAACCCAAAGCTAAAAAATCCAAGAAACTAACTACAGATGCACCTATAAAAAATGCAGCAAATGCAACTTCTAAAAAGGTTGCTACAAAGCGGAAACGTAAATAGAAATTTTAATTAATGAAGGTTTTTTTTAAAAAAAATAGATGATTTTTTTTTGTTGTTGAAAAAAAAGTTTAATATTTGTTTTAAACAAGTTCCATTTTTAAAAAAGCTCGTCAATTTTGATATTTTTAATTTTCATGATTTCGTTTAATATAATATTTATATCAATAAAAAGATATTTGTATGTTTATTGTATAAATAATGATACACTTTTTAGTTTTAGTTTTCTTTATTTGCATCTATATACATATATGCATCTATATACATATGAGCATATATATATAACCAGTGGCGTAGGAAGATCGTGAAAGTTGGGGGGGGGGCTGAAAACATATGTTAAAAAGGAAAAAGTTCCTCAAATTCGTATGATACAGCAAAATAGATAAAAAATTATCTATTTATTTATATATTTATCACACGCAACGTGATTAATTATCTCTTTAATGTGGTTAGTCATCTTTTGCTTGCACTTATTAATTTAAAAAAAAGTTAGTATGCGATAGTATCTTAAACAGCTTTATGGATATACTTTTCCATGGTGATGTTTAATTGTGATTGAGTCATTACAGAGTAGAAAATGATAATTCCGCTGATGCTATCATAAAAGTTTATTTAAAACTGTTCAAGAAATGGGGGGGGGGGGGCTAAATGCAGTGTCCAATATGTTTCAATTAGGAGGGCTAACGTCCCCTCCGAGCACCCACCACCACCTCCTCCTGTTCCTACGCCAGTGTATAACAGTATATAACGGTTGGACAAAATAATACGATATTTATTTAGACTCGTAAAATTCAATGTTTTTAAGAACCATTAAACTAAAATTCAATTAATCTTAAAAATGTAATTTTTTTCAATAAAGAATAATTTAAGCTGGTGTATATTTAGATTTTGCTTGAAACATCCGTGAATGATGCGCATGTAAAACATCTAAAGCATAAAGCTTTAAAACAAGATTTAATGCATATACAAAATCTACATAAACTTATTATTGATATTGAACAAACAAAAGTTTAAGAAATAATCATTGGTTTCTGATTAAAGTGGTCAATCCAAAATCGAGTCAGGCTGTTTGTTAAACACATCTTTGTAAAGTTTTCAACCATCCTTCCATTCTTCTTCGTCCCATTCGCCATCAGATGTAATTTTGACATCCTCTCCAACCATTTCTTTTAGTAAAATAAGGATTGCAGTTACTGCTGGGTCGTATAACCTACGGGCAGTCTTGCAAAAACTCCATACGAGATTATCCGAAGTAATTACAAAATCATCAAAATCCTCACCACGTGATCCATTGATACGAATAACATCTCCAGCAGATTTATCCTCGATGGGGTAATTTTGATCGATAGCGGTAGCAATAATTTTATGGACTCCGACTAGAAACTCTTTCCATTTTAAAGGTTCAATCACCTTTTTTAATTGCCAATAATGCGTGTACCCCATCGTCTATAATGTAGATTTAAAAATTAAACGCTTCATCATTTTTTTTTTTTAATGTAAAATGAAAACAATACAAATACCATAAATTAGAACTAAATATTAACGTTCCAAAAATACCAAACTTATTGTTTTTTTTATTTTAATTTATTATAATTTATTTTAATTTATTATAATTATGAAATGCAACTTTTAAACCACAAAGTTTATGATTTTTTTGTATGATTTTTGACGTTTTCAGCAACTAACGTTTTTAAAAATTGAGTCAACGTTTCCATCACGCCCATTTTTTCACAGCCTCGCATCAAAAGTAACAATTAACAGTAGAAAATAAAAAAAAATTTAAAAAAAAAAAAAAATTATTGTAATTGTAATTGTAATGGCAATCGCCACTACAATTGCAATGTTATTACAATCTTACAATGCAAGAATGTTTGTATTAGAATGTTCTTACAATGCCAAAATGGTTTTACAACAAAATAAATAATCATAACCTTTTTTTTTTTTTTTTTTTTTTTTTTTTTTTTTTTTTTTTTTTACAAAAATAAACAAATCATCAAAACTGCTTTTTAGTTTCAAGTTAAAATTTTCTAATTTTTTTTTCAAGTTAATTAAAGAATCTTTCATAATTATGCACACTAATAGGGTAATATAATGCTATAATCGATTTTGCTATCATATCATATAAAAAAAAAAAAATTCTTTTAAAAATATTCAGATTTATAAAATGATCTTAAATTTTGAATCAAATTATCTCTAAAAAAAAAAAAAATACTTTTAGCACTATAGTTAAGTTGTTGTGCTACAATAAAAAAATTAAAAAGGTAATGTATTTAAAGTCATCAGTTGAACAATGGTAGAACCTCCTACTAATTTTCGGCATAAAACGTTAAATCTTTTTTCCTTAGTCGTGTTTTACCGATTATCACTCAGATGTTTAAGTGTTACAAAATGTAGTTATAAAATAGAGTTACTAAAACTCGGTTAGCAATTTATTATGCTCCAAATGTCATTTTCTAGATTTTAAAAAACAAAATAAAATCGTTATGTTAACAATTTTAATGAAAAGTCAAACCTTTTAATAAAAATCATAAAAGGCTTTTATTAATTTAAATAATCAAACAACGGAAGTATAAAATAGACGAAAGCAGCAAACATCAGTTCAAAGATCAAAGTTTGTTTGGAGTCGTTTGCGGTATTAAGTGTGTAACTAACGTTTAAAAATTAAACAACAAACGAATTTCTTTGGACGAAAGATTACTGAAATAACTTTTATTAAATCATCAAAAAAATTCTTTAGCTTTTTGCATTAACATTATGCATTAACACTTATAATTACTGAACATTAATTTTATTAAAGCAAGGTGATAATTACTTTTTTTTTTTTAAAAGCACTTTTTGTTATTTTTTTTCTTGTTTTGAATAATGACAAAACAATAAATTAACAACTAAAACATTTTTCAAAAAGTTAAAAAAATATGTTTTCTAAATAGCTAAGAAATTTAAGTTTCTTCTTAATCACGGTTGATCGCCGAAATTCAAAACTTGCGAAAATTTTATATCTTTACCTTTTTTTTTTTTTTTCAAACATCTTCACTTCCAACAAGGCTGCAAGCAGTTGGATGTTACTGGAAGAGAAAAGATAAAGTTCATAAAACAAGATAACGATTACCAGACGACTTGGAAAAAAGATATATGAATCAGCAGCCATAATTGCATCTCTCCGTTACACTAACGAAAAACTCTAACGGCCGGTTATAAAACGGAGGGTATTCTAATCCTTCCGTATAGGCTCCGTATATTAACCGCTCCGATTTTTTTTTTTAATCTCCGTTAACTAGTTTCCATGCTGTTTTTATCACCACATATAAACGTTGCGATGCCAGCAGACGATGATTTTGTTTATTTGGTAAATAGTAGCCGGTTATTTTTAAAATAATGATTGAATAAATAAAAATTCAAAGAGTTTGTATCTACTTAACACTTAGTTTCATTTTCTCATAACTCTATTTTCTTAAAATTTTGCAAACGGATCCAAATATTTAAACCGAATAAATCTATTGTGACACATTTCAATAAATCGTGACCATATATGATCACGTTATATTCATATATGATCATATATGATCACGAATATATTCCATAGTAGTATAAAACAGATGGAAGTTTAACCGCATTGAAATTCTTCGGGACTATGCTTGTAACCTTTTGTTTCGTAAACAATAAGAAAACGACATCAAAATTGTACTTAGACGCCTAATCTTTATAGGTTGACGCAAATAGATACGTTTATAATAATCTAAAAATATAGTATTTTAATAATATTTAAGAAAAACATTAAAAATGGCGCAACGTAACGGCAAACAACAACTTTTTTATAAACTTCATATTAAATGAATGGAGTACTGCAAGAATGAATGGAATTATGATACACAGCTAATAAAACTTTAAACTTTAGTTATTTAGAAAACATTTTTTTTTATTGTTAAAAAATTGTTTTAGTTGTTTAGTTTATCAAATGCCGTGTTATGACTTGAAGCAAGAAAAGAAGCTTAAACTAACCTATGCTTTTAAAATAAAGTAATTCTATTTAATTACCGAGTTTTAATAAATATTTTCCTGATTAATTGCAATTACTAAATATTAAAACTTTGCAGCATATCCTTAGAATAATTCATTTGTTTGTGTTTTAATAAAGATCATTTCAGTGAATTTTGTTGTTTTTTTATCCAGTGAAACTTTATTGTCGGTTACAAGCATACTCCCGAGACGACTTGAAATTGCTTTGATGTTTGCGGCTCGATGAAGTTCTGTTTTATACTTCCATGATTATCCGTTATCGTTTTACTACGAAATATTGTTTTATGAATTTTTATAAATAAATACTTTATAAATTAATTTTACATATTGGTACGCATGCGTAATATTGAGGAATATTCATAATGTCCTTTAGTTTTGTTAAATGTGTTTAAATGTAAATATTAGCATCTTTTTACATAAACAGGCATCCTTATGTTATTAATTTTTTTACAAAAACAAATAAGAGTTCAAAATAAAAATTTTAATTTATGAAAAGAGAAGAAGTAGGAAAAGTATTTTTAATTCAAAATTTACAGAGTGAATCAGGACAAGAAGTGTTGGTAATTTTTGAAACAGATAGTATCACGAGAAGAAGTGGTAAGAGTAATAAAATTCTTTTATTCAACATTACGGATTGAATTACGAGAAGAAGTGGTTGTAATTAATTTAAAACATTTAATGTCATTTGCACAGCCATTATATTTATTATTGTAATTACAGACCATTAAGTAGTTAATCTGAGTTGTAATAGCATGCGTGTTAATATGGCCACTTCTTAATATTAATATATGATTATATATTTAGTTAGTATTTATTCCTCCATTATGACTAACTCCAACTTAACAACATGCAATCATGCTTATAAATTGAAAAAAATGTTTTATAAGACAGATGTCCGGAAAAAACTTTTCTAATATGGAATTCACAAATTTGTAGAATAGTCTACCATCTGAAATAGTGTTCAACATCTGTCACGACTTTAAAAAAACATCTAGATGCATCTTGGGTTCATCAAATGTACAATTGCATATAAACAATTAGACCGACACAATTAGATACAATAGAGCAAAAGGTTTATAGGCTTTTTTATATACCTAATTATTCTATTTGTAAAATTATAACCTTAGAAAATAATAATAATAACAACATTAATAATAATAACAATATGTTATATCAAAACTCTTATAATTAAACACCAAATAATTAAAATTAATTAAAGGGATCCCAAACTCCCGACACATGTTGTGTTCATATTAAAGATAATGTTAAAAAAAAAGGTTTGAACCAAATTTTTTTGATTAAAAATAAATAATGAATGCATACCGTGAAAAACAAATGTTGTTGTTTTTGCCGAAGCTCGTCTTCTCCATTTTTTTCAACTACTCGAAGTCTTCAAATTATGCGTCGCAATCTACAGACTTTGGCAATTCCTTTGAAGCGCGTTTAATTCATAAAAGTTTTAGTATTTGACGTCACGGTAGACTTTTAACAAAAGAAAAGTACTTTTCTTTTTAATTACAATTAAAAGTACTTTTCTTAGTTTAATTACACTTAAGTGTAATTAAACTAAGCTGCGTTTTTCTCCTGTAGTTATTTTTTAACATACAGCAAAACAAATTTATTTGTATTATTTTTCTAAACATCGCAAAAAAAATTTTGTAAAAAGTAAAAACAATAAATTATTTTTATTTTATAGGAGCAACTTATTTTTTACAGATATCTTAATAATTTTTAGATTTATATATCTTACTTATATTACTTTAATTATTTAAATTAAAACAAATATTAAAGCTTTACTTACCAATCTCATGATTTTCATACGAGAATTTTACATTATAATAGAACGTTTTATATACGGTCTCTTGTTTTAGCGCAAGAGAGCGCAGTATTATATATTCTGATTCTTAATTATTTTTATTTAAACAATGGGAACTATTTTCTAACTTCTCTGGTTATTTTTACACTATGACAATTTTTTGTTTTCCCGTTGAAAAAAAGTATTTATTAACAATTACTTTCATAAACTTACAGTATTAATTAAAGATATTTAATGAATTGTTAACTTTTTTTATTATAAAATTATTTTGATCAAGCTGATTTAATTTAAATTGCTAAATTTGCTGAATTGGATACGGATAAAAAGGAAATACCATTTTATTTTACATTTGATTTTTGATAATGAAATTTTTAAAATGTCAGCAACTCCATACCAATTAGAACCTGTTAAGATAATGAAAAAAAAGACAAGAATACACTAAACAATAGTTTAGTGTATTCTTGTACTTTTTTTTTAACACTTGACAGTAGTATCAGATATGAAAATTCGTGAAAGGATATGTGAGATCCTGATTTTGCATTAAAAGTACAATTAATTGCAACACAAGTCGGCATTATAAATTTTGATTATGAGTTTACTGTTCAATATTTTATAACCATCAAATAAAAAACACGAAGTTTGTATATTTTTGCCCGTTTTATACAACTAATATTTAACCAAAATACGGACAAATTATTATTAAATAACGCAATAATTAACACATTATTTAAAGGCAATAATTCAAGATAGATGGTAATTTAAATTGTTAAAATGTCATAACGCGCATTAAAAAACATATTATTTTTGGTATTTCCAAATTTGTGTCGTAATTGGCATTTGTCTCTTAAATCTTATCTTGGAGAGCTCATATAAATCATATTAGCAATAAAATCTCAAGTTACTTATCCTGGAGAGCTCATATAAATCATATTAGCAATAAAATCTCAAGAAGTATTGGCATCTTATATAAACTACTTATCCTGGAGAGCTCATATAAATCATATTAGCAATAAAATCTCAAGAAGTATTGGCATCTTATATAAAACCAGACGAATCTTAGACAAATCTACACTAACTCAACTATATTTTGCATTCATAAATAGTTATTTATCTTATGGCAATATTGTTTGGGGTAGTACAAATAAATCTAAACTCGACTGTCTCCTTAAACAACAGAATCATGCAGCACGCATTATTCATTTTCAAAATCGCTTCACAAATGCTAAACCTCTTTTAAAAAGCATGAGGGCACTTGATATTTATGAGTTAAATATTTTCAAAATTACACAATTTATGTTTCAACATCAGTCAAAAAAAACGCCGAAGGTTTTCGAAAATATTTTCCATAAAACATTAAACCGATACAACACGCGATCTACCGGAAGATTTAAAAAACCTTTCCGTTCATCAAAACTTACGAGCTTTGCCATTTCCTATCGTGGCCCAATGCTATGGAACCATTTTACAAGTCTGAGTGGTAAACTTAAAGAAGCCAATACCTCTCAAAAATTTAAAAAGAACATAATCGAACTTATTGCCAATCACGATTCTTTACATGATTTTTTCTAACAATACACGATTATTTCCAATTTTTATTATCAAAGGTTACTGATGAAAAGACTTTATCTTCTTCAGGTTCTCCGGTCTTGTAACTATTATAAATAATGAAATGTACTTGTATTTAATATTTCTAAATATTTTACGGAAATTATCTTTAATTGTAAATGGTTGCTTGACAAAAATTAAAAAAAAAAAAAAAAAAAAAAAAAAAAAAAATTAAAAATTAAAAATTTTTAAAAACACAATTAACAAATACAAATTTTCAAGCAATTTTCACTTCCAATTCTCATTTATTCAAAGAAAATTAAACTATTAAACTTTCATTTCTCTTATCTAAAAAAAGAACGAGTGACGCAAAAAATATATTCTTTACAACTCTTATTCATTCAAAGCGCGAAACTTTTCTTTCTCTTTTGTTCTACTCTTTTATAAAAAGAGCGCCCGATGAAATAAAAACTTTTATTATTTAATATATAATTATAATTTGAGATAAAATTAAATTAGAAATAAATCAACAATGAGCAAAGCAACGAACAAATTAATCTGGAACTATTTTGATATTTATGAAAATAATCAACATAAACAACATTACCAACAACAGTTATCAAATAAACAACACAATCTCGCATAATTTTAGAGGCAATTTATTTTTATTGCTTAGTCGTTCTAAATAATAAGTAAATTTAGTTCAAGTTAATAATTCAATATTTACAGTTGCAATATAATAAAGAAATGGTGTTTAATACTGAACTTTTTATTTAGTTATTTATTTTTTTACCTACATTTGTTATAAAAAATTTTAGAACCCCCGTCATTAAAATAATTTGTTTTAAATATATTTCGTCGTGATTATTCAAACTAATTTTTTTCGTTTGACTTTCCGAACTTTACGCAAAGCAAATTGAAACGAAATATCGTCTAACCAAATAAAAAAGCTGTTACTAATTTTATACGGGTAATTAATGTAAAACAATTCTTGAGATAATAAATATTCATAATTTATAAACATTAAATATATGGCGCGATAACAATTTATAGCAACGAACCAGTTGTTTAAGGTTTTTAATATCTTTTTAAATATTAAAAGTAGAAAAAAAAAAAACTATACAAATAATCAAAAAAACTTCGACTAAAAATAAATAAAAATATTTCCAGAGTTTCTTTTGTTAAAAGTCTACCGTGACGTCAAATACTAAAACTTTTATGAATCAAAGGAATTGCCAAAGTCTGTAGATTGCGACGCATAATTTGAAGACTCCGAGTAGTTGAAAAAAATGGAGAAGACGAGCTTCGGCAAAAACAACAACATTTGTTTTTCACGGTATGCATTCATTATTTATTTTTAATCAAAAAAATTTGGTTCAAACCTTTTTTTTTAACATTATCTTTAATATGAACACAACATGTGTTGGGAGTTTGGGATCCCTTTAAACACTGAATAAGTTTTATGTTTATTTATTTAGTGTTGTATATTAAAACACTTTTTTTCAGTGTTTCATAACTGAGAAAAATGTTATATCCCTGGCTAACTCATTCAATTGAGCACGAGATCTTAATCTCATGCTAATTTGAATCTCGTAATCTTGGGGTAAATATTTATTTAGAGCCTCAAGTTGTTTATCTTCCTTAATGTCATATTTATATAAGAAAAAAATTATCATAGAAACCTTCCCAAACCGCGCAAACTTTAAAATTCAGTTTTTTTTACTAACCAATAATTAAATTCTACTTGCAATAAAAAGCGATTACATTAAACATTAAGAAATGAAACTCAATAATTTTTAGACTAATATTTTCAGTTAAAAAAAAATAATAATCAAAAAAGAAAGTTAATCTGAAGTTTTTTTATATCATAAATTTATTTGGATTATTTTTTAGCTGATGTACCGTTAAACTGAAGGTGGTAATAAAGTTTACAAAATTTGCTCTGGCTGAATTTTTCAATAAAAAAACAATATGTGTGCCATTAATGTAATCTGTTTTTCATGGCGTATTAATGAAAGTTTGGTGTATTGGCCAAATCACTTGCAAGCATCTTGCCTTTAGGCTGCCATACGTATGGTCACGTATGGCAGCCTAAAGGCAATAAGAATTATAACAATATTGTAAATAAGACAATTACATAAAAATAAGAATTTTTTGGTAATTGTCTTATTTACAATATTGTTTTTGTTTTATTAACAGTATTATCTTTGTTTTTTATCTAAACAGCTATGTTTGACTCAAATATAGTAAATGTTGATTGTTTAGTATGGTTTCATCTCTTCTTTATACTTTTTTTTGACAGTTATGAGACTTTAGAACGAAATTATCTGTGCCTCCAGCTTTAAAGGATGCAGGTTACAAAAAAAGTGACACTGATGAGATTGTCTCTCAGTTTTTCAAAGATTGAAGAAATCTTTAGTGTTTTAGGGTTAAGTGATTCCATCAGAGCTTTGCTTGACTACCTCTTTCGATTTATTGAATTTATTTGCCGGTTATAGAGCAAAAAAGATCTTCTAAACCTAGAAGAAAAATTATGAAACAAAGACACCTTATGAATTAATAGTATATATCAGTGAATTGATATTAGTTAATAGTTTTGGGAAACAGTACCATGTACTATTAAAGTTTCTAATTTTTTAAAATATATGATACATTTATATGAAACATACAAACAAATGATACAATATGATACGTGATTGACTATAATTATGTTGTATATCAGAATGTTTTATATAAATGCTTATTACATTTTATTGTGATTTGTATATTTTATGCCCAGTTAGCAATGTATTTTGTGTATTAATGACTACTAATCTCAGATATCTATGACATCTGTAGGGTGTATTCACCGCTACAGATATCATAATCTATATATAACCAATTGCTTTTACTCTTCCATGTCATATTTTAATAAGAATCACATTATGGAAAACCGTCTAATACATACACATAAGAGGAACCATTAAACTTTTAGTAGAACCAATTATATTACATTTGTTTTCTTATTTTAGATGAACTTTCTTACTTCGGTTGGAGGAGATGAGAAACAACTTACAGCGGCAATCTTAATAAAGCTAATGGCCAAAGAAGTATGTTTTTCATACTGAGTGTATGGAATGTAACAAAAACGTCCTGCAAGGTCGTTATAGGTAAAGCACAATATTTGTATTCTACATCCCATTTCCTTTGAATAAATAAATATTTTAATAAAAGCTAATTATTTTACAATATTTATACGTGAAAAGTTATATATTTCAAAATTATATTGTGATGGTATTGAAAAAACATTTTGTAGATTTGCGTTTAGTCATTTATCGTTGTATTCGTTCATTTCGAAATCGCTACTGACAAAAGTATTAAAGAAAAAAATTGGCAGCTTTCTGGCGACGGCCATTAATAGAGATTACGGAAGAAAGATAGAACCGTAACTGAGCAACGCCCAATATTGAGCAATGAAATAAGTATCGCCAATATAATGAAAGTCGATGTCCACTATCTCATAGTGAGAGTATAATACAGTAGTTTATATATATATATATATATATATATATATATATATATATATATATATATATATATATATATATATATATATATATATATACATATTTTTTGTACGTGTATTTAAATAACATTGATTTTATTTTGTTATATTTTGGTTTTGGAAAACTCTATACCTCTTTTTTTCATTTGTATCTGTTTCATATAACTTTAAATAAATTTAATGATTTCGAATTTTTTTTTTTAAAGCGTGTTTTATGATTATTGTCATCTCCTAGACTATAACCTGTTTAACTCAAAAAGAATAATACAGCCTAGTACTATAGTATCACTTAAACAAGAAAACTGTTAGTAATTTTAATGATTACAAATTTTTAGAAGGCAATATTTTTTATTATTTTTTAATAATAAAAATTTAATCGAAAATACTCAATATATTGCCTTATTTTAGTTATATATATTATATATATCAGGACAATATTGTAAACTATATTAGGCCAATATTGGCCATCATAATATCCCAATATTGACTTTACAGTATTGGTGCAATATTGTATCGCCAATATTGGCCAATATTGACTTTATAATATTGGAGCAATATTGGAGCGCCAATATTGGCCAATATTATCAAAATGTTCACATTGCAACATTGGCCCGATATAATTTACAATATTGCGCCAATATTGTAAACAATATCGCCCCAATATTGCGCCAATATTGTTTGCTGCTAGGGAAATTAATTAAACTGTAACTCACTGGAAACAACATCAGCAGCAAGCTGGATATATATATATATATATATATATATATATATATATATATATATATATATATATATATATATATATTATATAAACCTTACCAACAGCAACAGATGATGATGATACTAAAAATAAAAATACAATACACAAAATAACCTTTATAATTTATTATTTTGTAATTAAAACCATAATGTAAAGTAAAAACATATAAACCTAACCAACAGTAATGGAAGATGATACTAAAAAAATAAAAATACAATACACAACGTATTCTCACGATTATTTTGCAATTAAAATCATATTGAAAAGTAAGAATATATAAACCAGACGGTTTAGGCGATAGTGACACTAAATATAAATTAAATGGCATGATACAAGTCTCTTTATATATATTATATATATATATATATATATATATATATATATATATATATATATATATATATATATATATATATATATATATATATATATATATATATATATATATATATATATATATATATATATATATATACAGTTTATATATATATATATACAGTTTATATACATAACAGATCTCTTACCAATTATTGAAGTAAGGTTTGCTAAAGACAAAGAAAATAAATTAAAGTTGTTGGAAGTTGAATGAAATATTTTTTAACTTTAAAATACACTTGTTTCACGTTATAATATCTTTATAATGATGTATTAATAGTTTATACACTTGAAAATATTGAAATCAACAAAACTTACTTATCTGTTTGCCATTCATAAATAGTTATTTATCTTATGGCAATATTGTTTGGGGTAGTACAAATAAATCTAAATTCGACTGTCTCTTTAAACAACAGAATCATCATTTCAGCACGCATTATTCATTTTCAAAATCGCTTCACAAATGCTAAACCTCTTCTAAAAAGCATGAGGGCACTTGATATTTTTAAATTAAATATTTTCAAAATTACACAATTTATGTTTTAACATTAGAAAAAAAAAATGCCGAAGGTTTTGAAACCATTTTCCCTAAAAACATTAAATTTATACAACATAGAGAACTACTGGAAGATTTAAAAAACCTATCCGTACATCAAAACTTACGAGCTTTGCCATTTCCTATCGTGGACCAATGTTATGGAACCATTTTACAAGCCTGAGTGGTAAACTTAAAGAAGCCAATACCTCTCAAAAATTTAAAAGAACATAACTGAACTTATTGCCAATCATAATTCTTTACATGATTTTTTCTAACCATACACTTTTATTTCCAATTTTTATTATCAAAGGTTACTTATGATAAGGTTTTATCTTGTTCTGGTTCTCCGGTCTCGTAACTGTTATAAATAGTAAAATGTACTTGTTTTTAATATTTTTAAATATTTTATCAGAAATTACCTTTAATTGTAAATGGTTGCTTGACAAAAAAATAAATAAAAAAATAAAAAAAATAGAAGGATATCCGCTAGTACTATGTTATTGGAAAAGTTGTTGTTGTTGATGTTTGTTGATGTTGATGTACTAAAAACGTTGTTGTTGTTGATGTTTTATGAAATTTTAGCTTCTTAAAATCTTTTCTTGTGAAAGTGTATAATATCGTTACGTTAAATATGTTTGTATATAATCTTTATAAAACTTCAAAGTTATTTTGTAATTTAAAATAATAAAAAAAAATTAAAAAAAAAAAAGCCCCCATAGCACGGTGGGATAAAATCGCGTTTTTTGTGCCAAAATTAATTTTAATTTTTTTTATTAGAACTGTTATAAACTAATTATACAAACTATATAAAATGAATATCAAGCTCATATATATTGCTGAAAAAGTTTATTTTTTGGTTTAATTAGAATTAAAAATTACGAACTAGATATATCTATATTCTAGAACGTAGAATCTTCGCAAAAAAAAGTTCAACTACACCCGAAGAAAATTTCTTTTTTACAGATGAAACAGTTTTTCTATAAGATGAAATAAGTGGATCAGATGTAAATAAAAGTCTTTCCATTACATCTTTGTTTGTCTTTGTTCTTGAATTTTTACGGGAATGATGTTCCCTATATTTTCTAAATTCTTTATTACCAGCTTCTTGAGCTTCTTCACTAAATAGACCTATTGGTAAGAATAGATTTTCTATTACTTCTGCTCCATGAATTAAGACATTATGAAGACTCTGAGGCATGTAATACCAGTGCTACAAGCATGAGTAGAGTTTTGCGGTCTCCAGATAAAGTAAGCAAAACTTGCTAGTATTTGAAATCCACTTAATATACAAATTAGGATTATATGCAACTTTACAATTAGTTCCTTGTTAGTTCCTGTAATATCAGAAAACATTTGAAAAAGCTTTTCAAGTAGTATTGCCGTCATTTGAGTTTCCAGATCCTCCACATTTTGGGTAGTCAACAATAAGTCCCATTTTGTGTTTAAATTCTTTTTGTATTTTCATTCTTTGTTCTTTATCAAAAGATTTCTCTTCGTCTTCTCTTGCTTGCCATTTTTTCACTGGTATCTTATATGAAATATGAATGAGACACTCAAAAAATCGTATCTGTGTATGAAGTGAAAATAATCCATATGTTTCGTAACATTGTCAATGTTGTTCATGTCTTTTGGTGAACACCTGCATATACAGCAGCATTGACTAGAGCTTGTTACATTTGATAAAGCAATATGGACTTTGCCTTCTATCATTGTAACTTGAATGATATGTTTGACTGAAATAGACTTGCCATTAGATAACTGAACAAAAGTTTCTACAAGATTTAAGATCTCGTCTTTCAAATTAGCTTCTTCAATAAGTAATAAACCAGTTGTTTCTTTTTCAAACTTAAATCTTAACGTTCGGCAATATAAAGTGGAAGAAGGTTTTGGATTTCTCCAAATGACAGTTAGGGTTTCTCTAACACAAGTTGTAATCTAAAGTGGACCCAGGCAAGTTAGAAACAATGATTCTTCTCCTTTTAAGTCGCGAAAACTTTCAACAGACATTTTTTGTTTATATATGCTTTGACCAGTAGACCCATCAAAACCTACTTTATTATGAAGAGATATCAGATTAAACGTTTCTAGCATACATAAAACCTCATTTTGAACTTGAAAAAGTCTTTGAGCTGTATGGTCACAAAAACTTTGTGACCGTGGTATACTTGCAGTATAGTCAGTAAAAATCATCTTATTAGGGAAGCTCAAAAGTTTTGATGATTTTATATTGTTATATGCAGGATACAGGTTGCATTCTTTTTCAATTGCTGCATTTTAATTGAGTTGAAACGCAGCTTTGGTCATATTGAATCTAGCATCAACGATAATGCTTCATTTTCAGAAAGCATCGAATCTACATTCTTATCTGAACATATTTTGTTTAATGCTTTAGCTTTTTGTATTTTTTCTTCTTTATTTAATGAAACTTTTGAAGCAAATAATAGCTTATGTGACGAATGAATTTTTTGAAGTTTACAAACATTTCGATACTTAATTCTTGAAGAACACTCTTGAAAGTCAGTAATTGTTGGTCGACCAGCGCTGGACGTAGATTGAGAACTTGCAGGAGGTATGGTTATTTTTCCAGCAGCAAAATCATTTAAATTAATTTCATTATCAATCCTTTTAGTATTGTTCTTAATAAATAAAGATTCTCTGCGTTTACAGACATTCCAGCTATATTTAAGGTGTGTTAAAATGTTCATAAGTGTTGATCTACGAACAATTTCATTGTTTTGATCAAGGGATAACTCAAAGAATGTTAGCAAATGAATATATGATTTCTCAGTATCTTGAATAGAGATTTCATTACCTTTTTAAGAGTTAGAAAGATTCAAATATTTCATCTAAAAACAAAATTGAAGTTATTGCATCTTACGGACCAGTGTCTGTAAAATATTATTAGTGCATATACTATATGTAAGAGGGGGGGGGGGAGAGGAATGGAGGGAAAAAGGCACCATATCAACAAATATCATATATATAACTAAAAAAGAATAATTATTGAAACCTTTGGTAAAAAAAATCTTGCATAATTAATTTGCAGTTACAGAGTCATTAAAAATATTTGAATTTCAAGAACTTATGAAAAACGTGTTTTTGCAATAAATACTATGAATCGAGTATGAGTTATTTGTTATAACTTTATTAGTTGCAATAAATTGCACAATATTTATGATACATTGCAGTTAAGATGCATTAAACATTAGATTTACATAATTAAATGTTTGAAGGATATTGGAGGACGGTTTATCTGATACCTAATAGCAGGGCCGCCGAGAGGGAGGGCCAAAAGGGGCATG